TTCAGCATCTTAGCTGTGGAGGGCAGTGTCACTGGCCCTCATATGTGGGATCCGAACCGGGGTCCTCTGGCATCCCAAGCCAGTTCTTAACCAACGCGCCACTCGGCCGGCCCAGAACCACTGTATTCTTGCTTCCACAACAGGAATTTAAACAAACAAACAAATCTCTTCCTTAAAATGACAAACCAGAAACACAGTATGAGAAAGGTTACTGCAGAGAGAGAGAGAAAGAAAAGAAAGACATTAATTCTCCGTGGGTCAGAAGGTGAAGGATGACCCACGGACAGTGGGAACCTGCCCGGAATTCCTTGGGTATAGCCGAGCGCAGTCTTGGGAAAGGAAATAATGGAAGTTGCTGTGGGATGTGCTTCTGAAAAGGGCGATTCACTTGAGAAATCTTGGCGACGGCTGATGTAAAAGCCGAGGGGTGGGAGCTAATGGGCCTAGAAGGCCGCAGACTAGCAGGTAGCTTTCCCAAACTGGCAGGGCTGTGTGAGCAGCTGAAGAGCTTTTATTTTAATAGCTCCCCCAGCGCCTTTTCTGAGGTTCATTTCATTGTGTCTGTGCTTTTTTTTTTTTTTCTCTCTTCCTCCTTTGAACAAACAGAACAGAACAAACATGACCTATGAGAAAATGTCCAGAGCCCTGCGCCACTACTACAAACTAAACATTATCAGGAAGGAGCCAGGACAAAGGCTTTTGTTCAGGTAGCACTTCCTTTTTCTCCTTGCCTTCTTTCGGGAGGATATTGTTTTCTTTAAATAAGAGGGGGGAGGGAGCCTGTGACGATCTCTACCTGCCTATCTGATCATCAAAGCCATGGTTGCTACAACTTGGATACCAGGTGCTGGTTTGTTCGAATTGAAGAAAAAGGAAACTTTTTTTTATGCCTGTCCTATAGGAAAAACAAAACTAAATAAACACAATCAGACTCACCTTTAAAATAATGCAGTGATCGAATAGTATTATTTGGCGATAACAGCCAGTATAGGTAAAGGGAGCGATCAGAGTAACATTTTCAATGGTGAAGCAAGGAATTAAGCTTAGACTTCCAGGTTACTGAGTCCATAAGCTAGTTTCTGAACCAGTGTTTATCAAATTGCAGTCATTGACCCATTAGTGAATCATGAAATAGAGTTAATGTGTCAGTCACAACTTTTTTTTTTTTTTAATGAAATAGAACAGAATTGATCAAGCTAGGATGGAGGTGAAAATATCAGACTGTATCACATGAAATTAAGAGTGACCACTGATTCATGAAAATTTTGTTTCAGGGGTGTGCAGTGTGTGTGTGTGTGTGTGTGTGTGTGTGTGTGTGTGTGTGTGTGTGATGAGTCATGATGTAAAATGTATTCATTACAATGCATCATAATCAGAAAAGTCTGAAGGCTGCTGTACTAGACATTCCTTCTCCCAGAACTCACAGCTAATGAGTTCCAACCATTTAACCTACCACATAGGTTGTGATTCAAGCACTATGTAGGAGACGAGAAAGAATTAGACGAGGAAGAGGAAGGGATCTAGAGCGCCCCTCAGGAGAGGCAGAACACTGGTGTCCACTGGTGGTAGGTGACGGGGTGAGACCAAGTGAAGTTTGGAAGAAAATGGGATCAACAAACACAACCTTAGGTGGGACAGAAAAGAGGTACAGATGGGACTAGAGACACAGATTTGGAATTATTTATGTACAGATAGAAAATGACACCGTGTTTGAGCAGATGAGCTAGCTACTGGGATAAGTACTTATTGGAAAGAGCAGAGAACCTGGGTTTTGCATGGGAAAGTATGGTAATTTAGGGGTAGTCAAAACAACTGAGATATTCAAAAGAACGAGAAAAGGCTGTTCAAGAGATGGAAACAGAAGGGAATGAAGTACAGAAAAAAATAAAACCCCCCCTTCTCTGGCTCTGCTGGTGCCTTCCCTTCATCCTTCTCCCTACACTTAGTCCTTGGCTCCTGTTCTTCCAGCTCTTCACTTTTTCCTGCATGAGTTGATCGCATTGCACAGCTTGAGTTATCACCTCAATGGCAAGACTCTTAAATCTCTATATCCAGCCTCTAAAATTTCCCTGAAATTCCAAATCGGAATTTCCAAGAGCTTCTTATAGGACATGTCCACTTACATATCACGTTAGTATCTCAGACATGAAATATTCAAGACAGACCTTCACATGTTAGAAATCTCCCTCCCTCACCCCCCCCCCCAATCCTCAGAATTCTTGTTTCTCATCAGTGGCCTCATCCCTGTTTTAAGCAACCAACCTTGGCACTAGAGTTACCTGTGACCCTTCCTGTATCCAGGGCAGTCATTGTGCTGGGTTGTCCATTGCGTCTTCAGCACCATTCCCACTCCATTCTGTGTTACGCCGGCGAGAGGCCTGGGAACCACATTTCCCAAGATTTCTTACCTACAGGTCTAGGTTGGAGTTTACCAACGACAAGCACTTTCTTGAGATTTGGAAGATGAAAGAAAGGCAAAAAGCATTGCTTTTGCTTCCCTGGCAACGGAGACTGGTGTCTAGACTTCGTGATTCTCACCCAGATTAACTCAACATTCTCTTTCTACCTCTGGTCCCTTCTCCTGCCTCCTGAATTCATAATGCACAACACTGATAGGATCCCCTGTGTGAGAAATGGATATCCCTGTAACTTTGACTTTTTTAATATGTAACCCTCTAGATCCATCTCAAGTCCAGTGCCCTTTATGAGGCCGCCTTCAGCTGCTCAGACACATACAGACATCTTCTTCCTTCATCTGTGGGGTTCCTGTGACCCTCAGCCACATCGTGATTCACATGTTTAATATTGGGTTGTCGGAAAAGTCATGACGCATTTTTGCAATGAAAAACAGAAAAAAATACGTCATGACTTTTCCGACATCCTAATAGTTGTATGTGCAAAGTCCTCCCCACAACTAGATCAGAAGTCCCTAGAAGGTAGAGGATTATATTTTATATAATTCTGTTTTATACCTTATGGAGCCTTTCAATAAATGCTTCTTGACAAGCCTGGTGTGGAATATCAGAAGCTTACTATGGAAAAGTACTCAACGGAAGACAGGGGTCGTTTGAAGGGCCAGAAAGACCATATCTGTGGACTCAGCCTGGAGGGGCTTATTAGTGACTTCAGTTGTTGAGGGAGAAGGTTTTGCTCGGGGGTAAAAGCAAAAGACACACTGCAGGCGCTACAGATTGTACTGCCTGAGAAGTTCAGTAATAATGGGCAGAAAAGTAATAGTAGTTAGCAGGCTCCCAGGTTTCCAACAAGATAAAAGAATAGTGCTAATAGCAAGGAGAGATTAGTCATTTTTGAGAAAATGAGTGTTGGAAGCCAGACATGCCACCAAGTGAAGGCTTCTTGGTATAAAACCCAGTGTGTAATCAAGTTAAGTGTTACATTGTGGTTCTCTTTACAAGATTTATAGCAGTTGAGGGACGGAAGGTTTCGGTGCGGACTGGTGCCTTTAAGCAGCTCTTTGATGATGAGGCAGAGCTCAAAGAATGAGGAGGACTTTGACAGTGAAAGGAGCCAAGAGGGTTCCAAATAAGGGCAGGGCTAGAGGTTTGGAGGATGGCGTGAGCCATGATTATCTAAGAAAGAACGCTGGCCAGGCTGGAAGGGAGGGTCCGTGCTAGTAAATAGTGGGAACCAAGTTTCCTGGGTAGAAATAACATAGGGCCCCGATGGGGAGGCCAAAGAACATATCCTTGACTTGATAAGTGGGCATCATAGGCTTTTGAACATGGAGGAATGAGAGAAGTGTGTATGTTTTATGATGGTTCATCTGGTGCATGTAAATCATGGTTGAAACATGTCGCTGAGGTTATTTCCAAGCAAATCCAAGCAACAAGAAGCTAAGGCTTGCTGTGTGCACCTAGCTGCAAAGGAAGATAGACCAGAGGGGATTAATGGCTAGCATTTTGGCTGCATCAGTGGTAACATTAAAAAAGACTCCTTTTGCCTCTCTGATTTCCAAAAGCACCACCAACTGGCCTTGTTATCAAAATTTTCCAGTCAGCATTGACTTGTATCCTTGGAGGTAAACGCAAGTTTTGCATACCATTCCCTGGACTCATGGTCCAGAACGGAAATGGATCTGTAGCCCTCATGGGTCATTGCAAAATCTAACTCTCTAAAAATTAGAAACTCAGACAAGTGAGCTGTGCCAGGGTTCCCTCGTGCGGTGTGCGGAAGTGTACTGCACAGCTCCGAGGGGTGCTCTCTACCCCACAGTCCTCCTCGCCTTTTATAAAAATAATTATTTCACTATTTTTCAGGCAGTCAGGGGAAGGGGCACTTTTATCTAATTAGCACTAACTTAGCATTAATAGCTGGGTTCAGCAGCTCTCTTGCTATATGAGGTGATGGAGCCTTTCTTTTTAGTTTTGAGTTCAGGATGAAAACAACTATAGGGAAATGTAATCTCTTGACAACCTCCATTTCCTTTTCCGAAGGTTTATGAAAACCCCAGATGAAATCATGAGTGGCCGAACAGACCGTCTGGAGCACCTTGAGTCCCAGGAGTTGGATGAACAAATATACCAAGAAGATGAATGCTGAAGGCACCAACCCACCATGTCAGTGGGCCGGCGCCCAAGGGAACTCCTGCCCACCAGAACTGCTGGAGGCATGACAGAGCCGGCGGGCTGAGGAGAGTAGAAAAGGAAGAGACCCAGGAATGGGAGTGACCCTTCTCTTGCATAGCAGGAGGGACCCACGAGCACCTTAGACAAACCACCCAGCAACGGCGGGGCTGGCATTCTGGCCGAGGGCACGAGCCTGGGACTCGGGTTTCACGTTCCCTACTCATTCGAAATCTCTCCATCTGTAATTCCTCACCCTCACCCTCCCACCTATTCTTAGTTTCATGGTGTTTTTGTTTTTGTTTTAAGACCATGCAGTTTGACTTTTCATCATTCATCTAAGGGAGGACACCCAAGGTTGTTTTCATATGGAAATATATATCAATTCTATATATATATATATTTTTGCAAATCTCACAAAGTGCAGCAAACCCAGCTGGTCAGGAAAGAGAATACTTGCAAAAGGGTTCAGGTTCCTCTTTATCCTGCCACATGGATCAGGTTTGTTCCTGTTGCTGTTGGATCTTGGCTGAAAAAAAAAAAGAAGAAAAAAAGAAAAAAAGATGCTTTTTAAAAAGATCAAGTGAAAAGGAGAGCTCTCTTTCTCTCTCTCTTGCTCTCTTTCCTTCCCCGCCTCCCGTCTGCCTGCCCTCCCCACCTGCTGTTGAGCTTCCAATGCCTTTCAGCAGAGTTTAGCCTCTTTGGAGAGTCTGGGGAACGGTTGGCACCTAAACAGAATCGGCGGCCTGGGTGCTTTGGGGCCGGCACCCCTAAATCAAACCCACATCCCAGCATTTGGCCACCTGTCGGCAGGAGACCAAAATCATCAGAGATGCTGCTGTCCTTCAGGAAGATAAGGGCCAGTACAGTAGGCTGCCCTGACAGTGAGCACCATGCCGCTAGCGGTTCCACAGAGCATCAGGTGGGCCTGAAGGCTGTCCGCCGCACCCGGGGGGCAGCTTGCAATTGCTGCAAAGCAGCAAATATGAAAAGACCACACAGACCTGATGGTTCAGAAATGGGGGGCGGGGGGATCTTCTGCCGCAGGGATCTGTTATCCCCAAGCAGGTTATAAGAGGCTAGTGAGGCAGGAGGGGTCTTCTCTGCTCTGTCCCAAAGGCCATCATGTGGTCAGTTCCATGCCCTCCCCTAATTTTTTTTTTTTTAATTCCTAGGCTTTTTTTTTTTTTTTTAACGTTTCCTTGTCGCCGTAGGAAATGGGGCATTTGAGAGGGGAGGCTCCTGGGGTGTGCAGTCTCAGCTGCTGACAGCGTTTGCCCAGCCTGGGCAGACAGGAAAGTCCTCAGATACATTACTCTTTCCTTCTTTCCTTTTTGCATAGCTGTGTTTCAGAATGGACCCATTCGTGGCTCTTTTTCACCTCAAAATAAAGTCGATAGTATCTTATAAAATGAGGGAAGCGCCACTCCTTAGTACTTCTGATGGCAACATATTTTTAGAGAGCTGCTTAGATTTGCTTTCCTTTTCTAGCCGTCTAAACCGACTCTTCCAATACAGGTTCAAAATTCAATATTAGGAGTATGGTGTTCTTTTAATCCAAAAGATTAGACCTACCTTACAAAGCACCCCCTCCTCATTTCTCTCTGTTTCCTTGCCTTGGTAGGGTGAGTATCACACAGCCGCCCCCCCCCCCAACTTGCTCTTCCAGCCATTTCTGAGTTGAGTCAGGCACAGCACACAGGCTCGAGGAATTCTCTCCTGGACTACTTACTGACAAGGACAGCAGCCTGGGGGAGGGAGGCACACATAGATTGACTGGTTTAAGGACACTGGAATTGAGGAGCTGATCAGGGCTCATCAGTCTTGCTCTGTTCCTGCCTCTTATCAGACCACACATAGACACAGGGAGGTGGCCAGGTGGCTCCCACTGTCACATCTTCCTCCTGCTCTACCCTCCAGAATATTGGGCTTCCAGCGAAGTCAGGGACCTTCTGTGTGAGTCTCAAGGCTCCCATTATGAAGGGTTTGGTCTGAATCTGCTTGAATGGTGATGAAATGCAGCTGGATCTCAGCATGCCACAGATGTCTTTCAAGAGTATTGAGCAGCACACACACTGATACGTTTTCCAGCCTCTCTGATGACTGATGTTGTATCTCAAATGGAGAGATTAAGCCAAATACCTGGTGTGTTGTGAAAGCCATTGAGTTGAAGAGCTGGAGAGAGAGTGGATTTTTTCTGAAGTCCTTTGTATGACTATGAAATCAGAGACAAGGGCACGATGTTGCTCTTCCCTAAGATTAGGAGATCTCATTCTGTTCATTTTACCCAGGCCTGAGGACTCAGACTCCTTGTATTCAAAGAATTTTATGGTTGAATTATGGGGGCAAATTCCCTTTTGATCCAAGGATTTCTGTAGTTGAAGCACTATCCTAGAAGAATCTGTAAGTGTTAGGATGACACCTTCAGCCACTTGAAAAAGGAATAGAAGGTGCTAATTCCAGTGTAGTCTTTATTTCCCATCCAGGTACTCCCAGTAATGGTTTTTCTGTTGACTCCCTTCACAGCAAAAGTCCTTCCCATTTGTTCTTTGAGGGAATATCTAGGCATTGCTGACACAGGGATACAGTACTTGTATACTGCAGACCCCAAAGATTTTAGATTCAATTTAGCAAACCTTGATGAAACACCTGCTAGACACTGAGGGATTCAATGATTTGGGCACAATCCTGCCCTCCGAGAGCTGACATTCTACCTGTAGAATCTATCCAGCATGACATTTCTCACTTCGACACTATTTTCTAGGGCTGATGAAAACGTCACTTGGGACCAAGGTAAAAAGCACATCTATGATCTGAGTGGTTGGTCTTTCCCTACTGCTATCATGAGAATTCTTGGCTTGCAATCTCAGAAATTGGAAAAGGGAAACGCAGAAGAGCGCTGCAGAGGAGGAGAGCGTCCTGCAGTTGTGTCCAGGATGGACATGCGCACTTGCCTTTGAAATTCAGTAGCATCTTCTCCTTGCGCCTTGAGTTAGCCAGGTTGCCTCCTCTCCATCAGAAGACAGCAGTGGCAATTGGCTAGACTGGACTATGTGGAAGTAACATTAGCTCTAAGATCTTTTGTCCCAAGGCAACTGGGTCTGGCCTAAAGCAGCATCACCAAAGGTCCAAATCTTTTTTGGGGGGGTCCCCACAGGAGAAGAGGAATAACATTGTTGGATTTGCTCCTTTCAACAGTATCTTTGGGACTCTTTGATCCCATTGTCTTTTTACACTGACCCTTGTCCAAATGAGAATGTAGATTTAGCTGAAACCTAAATGGCTATGACAGGATTTACCTAAATGAGTAAGAAACCACCATTTCCACCTTGCCCTGCCTAGGCTCCAACTCGGAGTGCATTTTTGAAACATTAACTCTCTTTTGCAGAAGAGAAACCTGAGTATCAGAAAGGTAATACGACTCGCCCTAGGAGCAGACAGCATACCAGGGACAGAGTTAGGATTAAGATCCAGCCCAGCCATACCCCCATTTGACCCATTCCCACCCAGGAAGCTGAAGAGAAAAGATTTGGGGAAAATACACAAAGAACAAAGGGCAATTTTCTTTGCCCAAGCATTCGGTGCTAGTTAGTTTTCACCCACTCAACCTGCTCCTCTTCTGGGCAGAAACCTGGAATGAAGGGAGTGATACAAAGCCAATGCAGGGGAGGGGTGGGGATGGGGGGGATGAGATGGCAAGAATCCCTGCCTATCTGAAAACCACAGAAGACTAACCTGATACTCTTGGCCTCGTCTGCATCAACACTAAACAACTACAAACTCCCTGAGTCTTTCACATATGCCAAGTGAACATTCTTGAAGATTCCTCTTGTGACTGCAACCACCTGCAAACCAGAACGAATCTAGAATTTTTTTTCTTTTTTTTTTTCTTTTGTTTAATTTCTGATCTCTTGTTGTTTATGAGGTGTGGGGTTTATAAGGGACTGAATCAAATGAATGTAACAAAAAGAAAAAAAAATGCCTTTTCTCAGGGCCAGTGAGTTGCAAATAATTTTTAAAGAAAAGCCTATAATTGCATCATCTCAATAAATTTTTTATAAAAAAAAAGAAGAAGAAGAAGTCCCAAGTCTCTGTTTTTAATAAGATGAAATGGAGTCAGACAGGCAAGGTGCTCCAATGAGGTAAATCCTGTGTCCAATCAATTACGGTATAAAGTGCAGTCATGGTTCTCGCTGGCAGGAAGCCCCTGTCACAGAGCAGTCTGCAGGCAGACTTGAGACAGGCGGCGCCACGAAGGTCAGCGCCAACAGTTCAAAGTGGGGCAGCTGCCACAAGTGGGGAAATGTGCCAGAAGGAACCCCCATCAGAGATGTGGGGGTCCTGTGCTGTGCCAAAGACTTACCAGTTCACTGTGGACTGAGGCAGTTCCACAAGTTAAAGGACCATAGGCCCTTTCACAATATACCTGCTCCTTAATTCTACTGAAGTCATGGATGTGAGCCTATAGGTGATGAGGGCATAAATGTGAGTGCAGCCCACAACTACGCACAGGACCTGAAAGGTTATCACACAGCTCAGAGCCAGCCCCATGCTCAGAATATCAGCCACACTGGCCAGTAGAGCCACCTGCCAACCGATAGACCCTTAGGTTAAAACATCAAACATCCTGCAGTTGACCAGAACTATCTCTCTGCCATCAGAGGTGGGTAGAAACTAAGGGAAGAAGGGAAAATGAAACAAATTACATTGTTATCTACTCAGATATAGTTTGGGAAGAAGTTTGAAATCAATGGTCTCAGAGAATGTGGATAGATTATTTTCGTATTTAAATTGTCCCAGGTACTCTGTCTCCCAGGCCCATGGGTTGCTGAAATTTGGCCCTATATTCTATATCGTCAGAGCACAGCATCAAGTAATAAGGGTCTAGCTCATTCCTATGGTGCTAAAAATGCAGCTGAAGCTACTATTTCTATAAGAAGCATTATTATCACCTGGAAATTGCTAGAAATGCAAAATATCTGTTCCTGCCCCTTAAAATGAATCAAAAACTTTGGTGGAGGAGATTAGCAATCTGTTTTAACAAGCTCTCCAGGTGATTCTGATGTACGCTTAAGTTTGGGAACCACTGCCAGCATCAATTTATTCATCTTAGTATGAAAAAGAGTATGGGGCCATTTGAACAGTAAGTACATAGAATAATCGATGACAACTAATTTGCATTAGCAGTACACACAATAATGCCGCATTTTCCTAATACTAGACACACTGTGGAATGAGGCTAAATGGATGCAGAATCACACACCAACGTCCTCTCTTTGCCTCCTCCAAACCTTTTAAGCAGTCCGTTTCCTATAAAAATGAGCTGTTTTAAAGGGTAATTCTTAACAGCTGACCTGCCCTTGCAAATTAGAACACAGCAATTTATTCACTCACGCCCATTTACCTGCCTAGCCAGCCTAATCTAAAAATAAAAGTAAAGAGATCGTTGTCATCTGCTGACTGACCTTGGCTACCTGTCCCTGGAATTACTGAGCTGAACCTGGTTGATCACTTAGCCAGGGAATCTGCAGGGGCCTACAGAACCCCTGGGCTAGCCCAGGGGTTCTCCAATCTGTAACGTGCTTGCACATCACCCAGGGATCTTGGTAAAAAGCAGATTTTGCCATAATATCAACATCTTGGGAGGCATGGGCAGGAGATCTGCTCCTACCCTACTCTCTGGGGGAGGCTTGAGATTCAGGGCTTCTAACAAGTGCCCCAGTGATCTGATGCTGCTGGTCCTCAGACCACGCTTGGAGTAGCAAGAGACCAATGCTCCCCCATCAAGCCCTGAGATTCCGACCCTAATGCAGAACTGAGCTGGTCTCTCTCTTAGCTGTATTCCTTTGCCAAGTTCTCCCTAGAAGAGTCCTCGGGGCCAATCCTGCTCCACAAGAAGTTTGCTTGTTCCCTTTTTAGGGCAGCAATAAGAGTAAACATGATCAAAAGCCTTTTGCCCAGTAAGGAAGAGCCGTTCGTGTAATGGACCTTACTTAATCCTAATGCTCATAACCAGATACCTCGCAGTCACCATCCTTACAGAAGGGAATGAAAATTCCTGGTGTCACTGCCTCTCCTTCAGCCTCGAAAAAAGACCAGTCTTGATCACCGTGAGCAGAGAGAAAGCTGATGATGACATTCTCATTCCAAGACAACAGGGTAGATGAGCAGCTCTTCCATCCAAACTGCCTGACATGTTGACATTAAAAGGGAACAATCTTGGAACAGTGTGCTCACTGTCAGTATTTACACATTCTGTCTTTTTTGTTTGTTTGTTTTAATTAAGGACCTCAGCCCTGCTAGATTGGAGAGGTAGATCTCCGCTAGTAAAAACCACCAGGTAAATTCTGCCTAATCTCTTTTAAGGCAGTAGAAGGCTAGTTAGTCTTTTCCTCCCCAGACCCTCTTAACAACACTCCTCTCACTTCCTTGGAGGGTCTCTGTGACTTTCCTTCAACACAGAGTTTTGGTCATGAGATCCCACATCGGACCACCTGAGTTAAACCTTGCTTCCGCCCGTGGCTCTGGTAGCACTACGCACTCCCTTGGTGTCCCAGCTGCGAGTGCTGCTGGAGCAGCAACGAGATGCCCGCCTGCTATGGATTGCGCATGTGCCTCTGTCTCCTGCTAGCGCTCTCTCAGAGGGGA